GAACATCCATGCATTTTAAAAATAAATTTTAAATTTTAAATAATTTTTAAAAGTAGTTTCATCTCTTATAATGTAATGGAAAATATTCAAAATCCTCTTATGCTGATTCATGAAGTATACTGATATAATTAGACAAAATGAGACCATTGAAAGAGGCAGACTCCTTGTTTCATTGCTTTAAGCAAATAATAAAAATGGACTCATGCAAGTCACACCACTAATTTAAATACATATGTAAAAAGATAGTAAATAAATGAAATAAAAATATTTGCTTTAGTTTTTTTAAACAAAGATTTATTAACTCTGAATTTTTTAGGTTAAGGACCATGCAATATATATCTCCTACACCGAAGTGTCCAAGAAATGTTTTTGAAATAAATTAATGAACTGCTTTAGAATGTCGCTCAGAAATTAAGCTAGAAATTCAGAGCAGTATTCTTAGGGCTTGATTTACACCAAATCCAAATTTGCAATATATTAACATTGAAGGAATAGGCCATCGCTTTCTGAAAACCTTCCTTTTATAAAAGAAATACTTTAATATTATGAATCCTCTTGGTGCATGTAAAATATTATTTGCATTATAAAAATTGATTTTTTGGTATAATTGTTCATAGACAATATTTTCACCAGGATGTGTTCACAAGTGTTAATGGAAGGCAAATTATGTGTGGGACACTCTTCTAGGGAATATGTGAGGGGTTTTTAAGATGGATAACATTTTGTACCTGCTTTTGAGTTGCAAATGATCTGGACTCTTGTCTAAACACTGCAGACAAGATCAGGTGAAGAACATTACTAGAAGTTCAGTGAAGAAATAAAGCCACGTACTCATGGAGTGAAATTTGAATTCCTTAAATTCCCTAAAATTATTTTATGTTGGGTTTTATACCAGGATAGGAATGCCTTTAAAAGAAAGAAATATTTGACATAAGGTAGAAAATTTCAAAGGAGTGTTTGACTTGTTGATGGATGTGTCATCACATTTCATGTGTCTGAGAAATATAAATTTCTACAGCACATTTTTAGTGCGTTAAACAGACTACAATGATCTAAATGGTTGAGCAGTTGAAATTTAGTCTGGAACTGGGACAGATGACTTGCCACATAGAGTGGTTCCCAACATAAAGTGATCTGTGATGGTGGGACTTTCAGTGTGTTTCACTATTAGCATATGTCATCCAAGTATGCCTTTCAACATCCGTGGAGAAAAGATATGTTACAAATACGAAACATCACTGTGATGAATTGGCAATGTCAAAAACCTCTGCCTTGGCTGTGACCCAGTGTTGTTATTGGCAAGCAGATTCATCCTTCTAGGTTGGTTGCTCCATAAGAAATCTTCAAGAAAAGCGAGTCCAAGACCCTTTTTTCTTCTTACTGTGAACTTGGTCAAAAATACCAAATGTTCAGTAACCATTTATGGTATCAGGAATGCACCAATAACTCCTTCTGACTCTTTATGAGCAATAATCTTGTGGAATGCAATTTCCCTTCTTATTACTGTGGGTATTTTTAGGTACCTATGCTGGACTTCTTTAAAAGGGAGTAAGGATTTGTGATTTAAACTGGGATAGATGCTGTTGCAGAGATAACAAAAGGCTATTGCTTTCTCTCTTCCAACAGGATCTAGGTAAAAGGATAAATGTGATAACTCAAAATAAGGTGTATGTTTATCTTCCAGGCTTTCTAATAGTTAATTGGTCAAATAAAATATTATTTACAGAATAGAAGGGCCACTCTTCAACATTGTTCAGACACTGCAAAGCAAACTAATGCAAGTGCAGTGACCTCTTCATCCAACCACAAAATAATATATATTTTTAATTCTCCAGGGAGTTTGAGATAGTAAAGTTGGATATCATGTAGATAAACAAAGGCTTTTGCCTTTTCTCTTGGAAAATAGTTAAAATGAATAGGAATCTGATAATTAATCTAGGAAATTTAACCCTGCTCTACTTACCTAATGCCCCCCAAAGGTGATCTTTTTTTTCTTCATTGATTTTATACCTTAAAAAGAAATTACTGAATTGCGGATATCCAACTAGTATCTGCAGACAGAAATGAAGGTCATTTTTAGAAGAAACCAGTGTCAAATGAAAACGCAGATTTCTACATGGTCACATTCATATCACACACTCTTGACCCAAGGTGAGTAAGTAGGTCATTCCTTATTTCTTATTTATTCCCTGGCACAATCAGACCACACTACAAGTTTCTTTTACCAGTTGCCAAAATGAAAACATGAGACCCTTCAGAGCTACTGTCGGTACATGCAACTCAAGACAACGAGCAGCATCACAACCATTGTCAACAGGAAACTCCAACAATGTCGGGGTTTGGATTTGGTTTTATGTTGAGAGAAGTAGGTTTTCTCTGATTTTAATAATCCATAAGAAACAGAAATCACAATAGATAGACTCCATATTACCTAAAAAGAGCCAAAAGAAGCAAAAGTTCTCCCCCAATTCATCCTCTTGTTCCACAGACATTTTGAAAATAAAGGAAGAGAAAATAGAAAGGAAAGGGTGTGAGAAAGAACACAGAAATGACTTGAATGATTTTAAATCCTTATTAAGCATCACTGAGGTTGCATTTTACCCATTAGGCTGACTGAATTTAGTCCTCACCGCTCAGACCTTGCAAAGAAACTGAACGTACATGGTTTTGCCTTCCAGGGTTGATCTAGAATTGTAAGGGTGCATGTGAATGTGGGTATGCATGTGTGTGTGCTTCAAGTCCATTTTATAAACACTGACACAGGACAATTCTCATCATTGGTAATAGTCTTTGGAGTCCAATCATGCAGAAAAACAGGCAGGTGCAAGTTAGGTCTCATTGCAAGATGGACATGGCAAGGTGAACAGATACTCCTAGATAAGGATTGGGAGATTTGTGTCCATTAGAATATACTGGCCATTGGTCCCACATAAATAAAGTTACATATACAAGATTCTATATATAAACAGAGGCCCCTCACTTCAGTTTGGCTGACCAAAGAAACAGGTCAAAGTGAACCATTTTCAGATAGTTAAAGGACTCAGTGCCAAAAGAAATAACAAAATCTTATCCTCTAATCACAAAGAAAATAGCTAAAATAACTATTTACATTGTAACTTTTTTGTTATTTTTACAGACAGGAGTTTCCTTGCTTGGTTTAATGATATCTATGGAAAACGTTGAACTCTTATAATTAAAATGTGTGTGGGGGATTGTGAGTGGGAGGTCAGGTTCTTGTTTGGATGCAAAGTGGCTGGGATCAAAAATTTCTAAAGCAGTTTTACCCCTCTTTCTGAGCTGTAGAAGATATATTTTTCAGCACAGCTGGCTAATAACACACCTTACAGAGCATAATGCACTTAAGATGTGGCTGTTCATATGTTAAGAGATTCAAATCGAAATAGATTTTGTATAATTTAGGTTTTGCAATGAATATTGAAAATTTAAAAAAAAATCAGGTTTTCTTATTTGTTTCCTTGACAGGACATAAAAGGTTTTATGTATTTTTATCTATTTTTTACTAGTTCCATTTGCTAAGGCCAACTTTTGGTTTTACCAGTCAGCTACTATCAGTGTCTTTACCTAATATTTTTCTGATAACAGATTGAAAAAACTATCGAGCTTCTTGGCCCTGAATTAAATAGCTTACTCCAGTTGGTGGGAATTGGCCAGTCTCTGGCCCAACTGTGGGGTACATTCCTACAAAACCCAGTCATCAGATTCTTGAAGATGAAAGATTATTATCAGTTTTTATTCCACAAGAAGAAATTCCGGTGTAAGGCTAGAGTATTCCTATTTAAAATTGAACACGCTGACCCATAAAACACATATAAAAATAGTAAAGACATATTAATAGTAAAGTGGTGGTGGTTTTGCCAAACTCTTGCAGCAGCTTAATTCTCCCTGCGCATGAATACACAGCCATCCTTCCTACAAAACACTGCAAAAGGTTTTATTAACAATCACTGCCAGCCAACTGCCCTAAAGAAGTGACGGAAGGTTAGGCTCCTCAGAGTGCCAACTTCATGTTCCAAAATGAGCCCCAACCCCGGGTAGGACCTTCACTTTTTTCAGGAATATTGTCCAGGTGACTTGACACTTGCTTACCTGAAAAGTTGGGATGTTCTTGGGAAATAACAGGTGACTAAGAAATATTTGGGTGTGTGTGTGTGTGTGTGTGTGTGTGTGTGTGTTAACAAGACAGATAAGTGAATGCAGAACATACTATATTCCGTGAATGTGATAATATCATCACCTCCTAGAGATATTATAGGAAAGCAGACCTAGTGGGAAAAGGACGGGGGGGGCTTTTACAGTGGTGATTCTCTTTGTTGTTTCATCATCTACCTTGATTTAATCACCTAATAAAATTGATCTTGCAAAAATACTGGGGGCCAAATCCTTACCTCTATTTGTAAATGATACTTATATTCGAGGAATTTGTTCCATTTTTCTCTTGTCCATAAGGGAAATCTGGCTAAAGCTAATCAGCTCCCAAGAGCCATGCACAGAAGACCTAAGACTAACTGAGCTTTGGGAAGGTACTAACAGCAGGGAAGGGGCCCTGTCTACTTCTTGCCTGGTTTAATCTGAGGGGGAAATTCACCATTTCTGCAGATGCGAGAGATAGCCTGTCAAGCACTTTGAAGATGCTGGCTGGAGACTTCCTTCTGTGTTGTGATGTCATCTTGGGGCTGACGAAATTCCCCTTGAGACTCTCTTTAAAGCAGCTTCCTGCTCTCTGCATTTAATCCCACGTGGCATAAGGCAAAGGAGGGGGGAGGCCACAGATATATCAAGAGAAAAGTACAGAGAAAGAAAATGAGTAAAGAATTAGAGATACAGAGAGGAGAAGTGTTTTGGTCTTTTTGTTTGTTTGTTTGTTTTTGGAAAAAAAACAGAATAGGACTGAAAGAAAAGAGAGGGAGCTCATGTGACTGAGGAGGCATTTTTAACAATCAGGTTTTCTGCAATATTAACCCAAAAATGGTAGCAAAATAGAGAAAATGGGCCATTTTTATTCCAGGGGGCAAGCTGCACAAAGGAATGTTCTTCTCTTTATTTTGAGCAAATGATCGCATGTACTGAATCTGTGTGAAACAATCTCAGAATGGCAGCACCGCTGGCATGGCGATGGTGCAGGTGGGTGCAGTTCCCTGTGGACTCTATTGCTTGAAGAGAGAAAGAAAGTTCCCTATTATTATATTTAAGGCAGTTTTCAGAGCACTGGCATTCTTGTTTGCTCTGTTTTGGGGGTATTCTATTTACCAGTCAGTTCACACTCATCAACCATCCACTTCCTGTCTTTCACTTCTTCAGGTGAAATATCACCACTTTGGTGAGCACCAACATGGTCAGAGTGCAAATAACTGTGATGGATACTTCGAAGTGAATAAGAAGGGAAGCCTGAACCAATTATTGCTGAGATCACCTTGGTATTGCCTTGTATATAACCAAGATGTTTCACAGTGCCTCCTTAAGTGCTCAGGAAAGCACTTTCATTTAATTTAAGCTAAATTCAGGAGATTTTGCTAAACATTGACATTAATGCTTCATGGCTTTTAAGACAAACTCATATTGCTAGAACTATTTGGCAGCAGTAAATTTATGGGCAGACTTATTGCTCTTACATCTACTGCAGTACAAAACTCAGATGATCAGCCCTTCTTCGATTGCTCATACTTATGAAAATAAATAAATAAACATGAAACATTAGCCACATTAAAGAGTCGGGGAAACTCCTGAGGAATAACAATGTCTCTGGAGATGTTTTAAAATGCTAACCTGAGACTCACACTGTGCTTTGGGGGTTTTATTCTTATTGATTTTTTTTTTTAATTTCAGAAGAGGAAAGTGATATTATTTCTCAAAACAAAACTTTGGTAGAGTATGAACCAGGGAAGCAGCCCACACATGGAAAACACAATCCACAACCTGAAAGTAGTGTAGGCAGGCTCATTTTTTTGTTGAAGGAATTCACACGGAGGCAATTCTGCTCAGTTCCAGAGAGACATTCTTATCATCAAAAGCACACGCAATAACCTTGCTTCACCACCTGCCACTTTCTCCAGTGGCCTCTTGTTGTGACCAGTAATTGAGAAATGGCAAATGGGAATAGGGCCAAATCTCTAAAATAGGGACACCAGTGTCTCTTAGTATCTGGGTAATAACCTCCTTTTAGTCTTAGTCCACAACGCACACTACTCTCCAGTCTCTCCTACTCTTCACTGTCACAGAAAAGTCTCTCAGCTTTTATTCACACCTGCCTCCTAAAGGCCAAACCATTTCATGCCTGAAAAATACTACCCACTCCCCCCACACTTTACATAAGTATCACATATGTTCTTTCTACAAATTGGTATACAGGTGCCATTTAATCCAGTCAAATTTGGAAGCTACATCTTCAAGGGTCTGAGAGATCTCGCTCCCCCCAATTACTCCCCCTTTACATGTTTTCTTATAAGACATACAGTTTAATTAATTAACAAACTAAACAGCTTATATACTGGCAATATATTACAGATGGGTTTATGTCAGAGTAATAGATCACATGAAATGGACCATGTGGTACCCCAGTGCATGATGTCTTGGTAGAGCCCTGAGGACACTGACAGTAGCATCTCTAAGTAAGTAGTGCTGTATGAATACAGACACATGCGGATCTGTATCTACATCCATCTGACTAGGCCAAGGAGCAGGTAGATGCAAGATAGAGACACACACATGCTGGATGGGGCCACTGCACACCTTGTCATGCCATTTAAAAGGGCAGTTACAGGTTGCTGGTTTTGCAGCCATTAAAATTACACTTTATGGAAGAGGCTTCTCTAATTGTGTCTGATTTGCTTTCTGTAGTAAGCATCATTGGAAGAAGACCAAAGCAAGAGCAACTAGAAGTTAAATATACATTTGAGCTCAGCTGCAATACAGAACTCTGGGGAAGAAGCAGGCTGAAAGATTGATTTAATTTTAGGCTTGGATTCCCTCCCTTGCTGCTTTCTTGATGTTGTGTGTCTGCATTTGTGAGTGTGCATGAGTGTCTGTGTATGTGTGTGTGTTCCATCACATCATCTCCTGAAGAACGCTGGGTTTCGCAGGCAGGCGGCTAGTCACCTGCAACAACCCAGGGGTCCTGCCGAAGCTTCCAGGCTGCTGTCAGTGTCAGATGCCAGGGTCTGGTCAGTGGACATGGAGGAGATGTCATTGACAGACGAGGATGGAGGGAGACTCTCACTGCTGTTCACTGCTGCACCTGTGCTAAGAAAATGAAGACCAACATGACTCAATCTAGAACCAGACTCATGTCAATGCCATTCAGGATTCAGGGATGGGCAAATACAATAGGGGATGTCCAGTCCATCAATCACTTGGCAAGCCTTTATAGAGCAGCTGACACAGGGGAGCATATTAAATGGTGACAATCAAGACATAGGAATAAAAAGTCCCTCATCACAAGTTAGTCACAGGCTAGTGCAGTAGTTATCAAACCTTACTCTATATTTGAAATCAAATGCAACACTTTCTATAAAAAAAACACTAATATCTGGTCACACTGCCTCCCCTGCTCCCACTGCACTGCATATATTTTAATATAATTGGCCTTGGGTGAGGCCAAGGCATTTGCTTTTTTTTTTTTTTTTTTTTTTTTTTTTTGAGACAGAATCTCGCTCTGTCCCACAGGCTGGAATGCAGTGGCACGATCTCGGCTCACTGCAACCTCCGCCTCCTGGGTTCAAGCAATTCTCCTGCCTCAGCCTCCCAAGTAGCTAGGACTACAGGCACACGCCACCATGCCCAGCTAATTTTGGTACTTTTAGTAGACATGGGGTTTCACCATGTTGGCCAGAATGGTCTCAATCTCTTGACCTCGTGATCCGCCCACCTTGGCCTCCCAAAGCGCTGGGATTACAGGTGTGAGCCACTGTACCTGGCCGACATTTGCATTTTAAAAAATCTCCTCAGAGACTGTATTCAGTCAAGCATTGAAAACCTCTGGCTTATGAGGAAACAAATAAACAAAACCCCTTAATAGAGTCATCTGAGCCTGGTTATTTCTAATGCAGGGAGCTTTTAAAACAAACGCATGCAAGTGTCCTATCCAAGAAATAGGAGCTGAAGTGAAGTTCAGAAATCTGAATTACTTAGGGACCACATCTCTAGAGAAAGGAAGGTGTATAAAGTAAATACTATTATGTCATCATTAATGACATCAAACTTAAAATGCATATAGAAAAGCCAGTAGGACATAAGTAGGACTGTTGATGAAAGTTACAAAAAAAAAAAAAAATAGGAGAAGGCTTAGCACCTTTTGCTTATGAGCTTACTCTCCAGCAGGCTTGCTTACTTGGAATCTCCAAATAAGAACTCTGAATTACTAACTTAGATTAACTTGAAAAAAACTATTTATGTGTTATGCGGGACTATAAGGTTGAAACTCTGAGAAGAAACTTGCCCATGGTAATCACTCAGTAAAGGAGAGCTGAGTTGCCAGTAGCTTTGAGATCAACAGAAGAAAGATGAACCAAAGGCATTGTGCAATATAATTAAACCAGAGCGCCCTGGAAACAATCCATTTACTTTTTTTCCTTGTATATTTTTTATACACCTAAGCAATGTGAGTGGTAACATACTTGCTTTGTGAAATAGCTCGCTATTAAAAATCTATAGTATAATCCCCTAATCAAATAAGAGATGAGGAATTCTCACTAAAATTATATCTGATTTGAGCAAATATAGTGTGCAAGATCTATCTGGTGAAAAATAATAAATCCAAAGTCAGTTATAATAGTGTTATCACATAGACCTAATAAATCAGACAGACAAAATAAAACTAAGTGAAGGTAGGGGAGGGGTTAACATAATCTTCTTTGTTCCTGGAGTAGACATTTCTTGCCTGTGAAAAAAGTGTGATGAAAATATGTCAGTTATCTAGAGAGGACACAAACACCTAAACTAAGACAGCTCACCTGTATCATCCATGTATTTTAACATTGTATTTGTTGACTGTAAATATATTGATGTACTCTATGGGAAATGTGAAAAAAATATAGGAAATAAAGATAATGATATGCACCAATCTTCAAATAAATGGTAAGAACTGTTAAACTTTTCATATATTTCTTCGTGGTCATTCTTTTTGCCTGGAAGTTTCTCTGGTCGTGATCCTTTAATATGTATTTTTTGGGGATCCTGATATTTTTATATACAGAAAAGTTTATGAATTTTTCATGTTCTTTAAACTCCTAAAAATACCCGTCCTTTCTGATCTTAAATGTCTCTAGAAAAGGTTTTTAAAGTCCTCTTGTTATTGTCTTTCTGTAAATAATTACTCTCACTATCAGGACGATGTATAATGTAAAGTTAAAATATTCCATAATATTCCAGCTTTGAATGGCTTCAATTTATCCCAACTCTACTTAATTATATCCCCTATAGCTATGATACAGAGCTGGGTCATTTCCCCTCACGACAAGATTTTATCTCCTAGCAGACAGCCCTTGGTTCCCTTACATTGCCCAAATGCCATGCTCTGCTTTTTCCCCCCTGATTCTGGATTACATTATACCAACAGCCTTCCTATTCTTTCATAAATTGCTAATAATTTAGTGTCACTATGATGGACTCCTCAGAATTCTCCTCCATTTATCCACAGCCTTATTAAAAGGTAGAGATTAAAACTGGACACAGACCTCTATTATAAAGGCCTGATCAATTGTGAGCCCAGCAGAGGGAAATTTTTTTTTTTTTTTTACTATTTGTCTCCTGGATGATATATCCCTAGACCATGGATGTCTTTCAAATCACGGTGCTATAGCTTAATTTAGTTTTCACTTGAGGTATAAAATGATGTTCATATATTTTTTGTAACAGCCTTATTAAGATATAATCCACATATATAATTAAGAAATTTAATTTTTATGATTCAGTGTTTAGTATATTCATGACATTGTGCAGCCATCACCACAATCCATTTTGCAGCATTTCATCATCCCTGAAGAAAACCCTGCACTCCATTCCTCATCTACCCTCTAGCTCTAGGCAATGACTAATATACTTTTTGCCTCTATAAAATAGCCTGTTCTGAACATTTCATGTAAATGGAAACATACCATATGTGATCATTTATGACTGGCCACTTTCATATAGCAGAATGTTTTTAAGGTTTATCCATGCTGTGACATGTACCTGTATTTCATATCTTTGTATGGCTGCATAATATTCCATTGTATGGATACATCACATTTTATTTATTAGTTGATAGGCATTTGATGGATATTTAGGTTGGTTCAACTTTTGGCTATTATCAATAATGCTGTTATGAACATTAATGAATGAGTTTTGTATGGACATGTGTTCATTTCTCTTGGGCATATACCTATAAGTGGAATTGCTGGGGCATAGAGTAATTCTAGGTTTAACACTTGAGGAACTGAGAAACTGTTTTCTAAAGTAGGTGCACCATTTTACATTACTACCAGCGGTGTATGAGGATTCCAATTTCTCTACATTCTCACCGATACTTATTATCTGTCTTTTTATCTATCTAGCCATCCTAGTGTGCATGAAATGGTATATCATTGTGGTTTGATTTGCATTTGCCTGATGGCTAATGATGTTGAGTATACTTTTCATGTGCTTGTCAGCCATTAGTATATCTTCTTTGGAGAAAGTTCACTCAGCTCCTTTGGCCATTTTTTAATTGCTTTATTTTCTTTTTATTATTGAGTTGTAAGCTCCTTCCTTCCTTCTTTCTTTTTTTAAAAATTATTATTATTTTTTTTAAAGACAGGGTCTTAGTCACCCAGCCTTCAGCACAGTGGCATGGTCATGTTTCACTGTATCCTCTAACTCCAGGGCTCAGGTAATTCTCCTGCCTCAGCCTCCCAAGTAGCTAGCACTACAGGCACATACCACCACACCTGGATAATTTTTTTAAAAAGGTTTTTTTGTAAAGACAGGAGCTTGCCATGTTGCCCAGGCTGGTCTCAAGCTCCTGGCCTCAAGTGATCTTCTGATTTCTGTCTCCCAAAATGCTGCGTCTACAGGCATGAGCCACTGTGACAGGCCTGTAAGAGCTCTTTATATAATCTGGGTACAAGTTACTTAATCAGATATATACTCTCAAATGTTTTTCCTCTATGCTATGGTTTGTCTTTCCATTTTCTTGAAAGTGTCTTTTGAAGCACAAATGTTTTTAATTTTTATGAAATTGGATTTATCTATCTTTTCTTTTATCACTTGTGTTTTCGTGTCATATCTAGAAAATCATTTTCTAATCCAAGATTATAAAAATTTATTCCTGTGTTTTTGCCTAAGAGTTTTATAATTTTAGACCTTATACTTAAGCCTATGATTCATTTTTAGCTCATTTTTGTATATGATATGAGGCAGGGGTCTACCTTCATTCTTTTGCATGAATCATTCTTACCCAATCACCCCAGCACCATTTATTGAAAAGGCTAGTCTCTGTCCATGTCATGCCATCCTTTTCAAAAATCAATGTAGGTATTTATTCCTGGACTCTCAATTTGATTCCCTTGATCTATTTGTGTATCTTCATGCAAGTAGCACTCTGTCTTGGATATTGTAGCTTTGTAGTAAGTTTTGAAATCAGAACATGTAAATCTCCCAGCTGTGTTGTTTTTCAAGGTTATTTTGGATATTCTGCATCCTTTGCATTTCCACATAAATTTTAAGATGGGCTTGTCAATTTCTGCAAGAAAGACAGCTATGATTTTGATAGGTATTGGCTTAATCTGTACATCAATTTGGGGAGCATCTGTCATCACCTTGACAATATTAAATCTTCTAATCCATGAACAATGAAATGTCTTTCCAGTTATTAGGACTCTTTAATTTCTTTCAACAATGTTTTGTAGTTTTCAGAGTACAAAGCTTGCACTTCTTTTGCTAAATTTATTCCTAAATATATATTTCTTGATGCTATTCTCGAAATGTTTTATGTTCATTGCTAATATGTAGAAATACAATTATACTTAGGGTTTATTTGAATAAGAAGTTTCAGTGTCAGCGGATTGGATATTAAAAACAGATCAAATATATATATATATTTATATATATATTTGATCT